TTTCTTGCTTTTTTTTTGGGGGGGGGGCTCATGCTGCTGCCAGCCGCCTTAGTCCCGACCCCATTTCTTTCCAAGGCCTTGTAGAAAAGGACCCTAGACCCTCAACCCGAAGCTACCAAAACCTGCTTTTTTGTAGGGTCCCTATAAATTCTTTATTAGGGTTCAGAGTAAGAGCATACCAAAAAAGTGGGTTATGGTAGTTTAAGGTCAACCCTCAACCCTGGAACCGAAAGTGCCGTGAGTAGGACGAGGAAGCGGCCCAGAAACCGCAGCCGACCGCGACCGCGAACACGACGAGCCCGTCGCCCACCGCGACACGGGTGCAGCTGCCAGCGATCTCCGTGAGAGAGGCAGCCGAGAAGGGCAACGTGTCGGCGCTTGCGGCGCACCGCAAGGTGCAGGGTTTTTTGAAAAGCGGTGTTTGCAGCAGCAGGCAGGGGCTGTTTAAGAAGGGCTGCGAAAGTGCTGCGGTTGCAAATTTTTTGACGAAGCGCCGATGCCTTTCTTTCTGCAGCTTCGTGCCGAGGCCGGGGCCAATTTGTCGGCCGAATTGCCCGGAATTTTCTTCGTTGGATGGACGCCGGCGCACTATGCCGCAGCAAACAACCGTTCGGCGGCGCTGCGGTACCTCCTCGAGGCTCTGTTGCCCCCAAATCCCTGAGCTGCTCCCTCCAAAACGCCCTCCGTGAGGTTGGTGTCGACTTGAATGCCACGACCGATAAGACCTCATTGACTCCGGCCCACCTGGCCGCCCCCTAAACCCCAAACCCTAAACCCTAAGCCCTAAGCCCTAAACCCTAAACCCTAAACCCGAACCCTCCGCGGATACGTGGTGGTGCTGGAGGGTCGCTACGAGGCCAAGCCTCGCAGGGGCCTTTATCTTCGTCTCTACGGTCTTTCTAGACCGTATAAATAGCCTTAAGCTGCGTCTGAAAGGATGAGACTCCGCACCGGGTTGCTAAGAGGATTCTCTGTCTTCCCTTCTTGCCAAAAACCGCAAGGCTTAGAGAGCCAAAGCCTTTCTTCGTTTGGTCGCATGCCCAGGCCGGAGCAAACATGGAGGCGGCAGACGATCTGGGAAACACCCCGCTGCACATTGCAGCCAGGTATGGCCGGGTCGGTGCAGCGCGCTTCCTGTTCCAGGCCGGGGTAAAACGGGACCCGACCCCCCCCCGTATTAAAATCAACCCTAAACCCTAAACCTGAAACCTGAAACCTAAAACCCGAAACCCGAAACCCTAAACCCTAAACCTCAGGCAGGGATGAGCGCGAGCGCCGTGAACTTTGAGGGAAAGACTCCTGGCCACCTCGCGCTCTGGAAAAGCGCGAGGTGGAAAAGCTTGGAGTTCCTCAAGGCCAGGGGAGGGCAGCCAGGGGAGGGATGGTTTAGGAGTTTTGGGGTTTAGGGGTTTAGGGGTCTGGGGTTTAGGGGTTTAGGGTTTAGGGGTTTAGGGTTTAGGGGTTTAGGGGTTTAGGGGTGTAGGGATGGTAGTATTCAGGGTTCAGGGGACACTGCTTTGTGTTTCTTTCTTCGGGGCTCGGAAGATGCGAGAGGAAGAGATCCGAAAAGTACCCCCAAAGCGGGACGGGCGCAGACTTGAATCCGGAGCTCCCCCCATGAGGGGAGCCAGGGGGCAGAGGGAGAAGGTGACTAGGGTTTAGGGCTTAGGGTTCAGGGTTTAGGGTTTAGGGTTCAGGGGAATGAACCCGTTGTGATTGCAATCGCAACTCTTGTAAGCTTCTGGCGCTGCTTATACAGCCCGCGATAAAACTTCCCCAGCCTCGTCTCCGCTGTTCCTCGGCTCTCGGCGTAAGCTATCTCAAGGCGCACTCCAAACGCTGGAGATCACCTCAGCCTCGAAGCAGGAATCAACAATTCGAGACATAACCACGGGAAAACAGTGTTCTAGAGTTTAGGGTTTAGGGGTTACGCTGTTGTCAGTAGTGATCTCTCATGGATCTAACTTTTTGTTCCTTCTGCCATTCGAAGCAGCTTGAAGCTCCTGAAACCGGTCTCTCCGATGCCAGCCCCATATCACCACCACCGCGGCCGCCAGCTCGGGGAGCACCAGTGGATATTTCAAGGCCTTGGCCCAGGAAAGGGGGTAGCAGAAGTGCGTTTGACGTGAATCTTCCATACCTTCCTTTCCTAGACATCCCCGCCTATGCCCCCTAGTCTTTCTGACAGCGCGTGGGTATTGTCAGTTAGCAGCCGGTAGAGCTTGCTGAATGTCCATGTTCGTTGTGCTGTCTTTGTACCGGCCCCGCTCACGGAGTTTCGTGCAACGTTTTTCTTGTGTTCGATGGCCTCTCAACCTTTCCTAGCCCTCCTCGCTTCTCTGACAGTGCGCAGAGGCTTGAAATAACTCCGGAAGCTTTTCGTTCGAGCTTCCCACGGCGAACTCGACCGCTAGGAAAACAGCCTGTGCCCTAACCGCAAGTATGCCAACGGCGGAAGTCGCCAAGGCCACCAACACCGAAAAGTCCCTGGCATGGAGGTAAGGGATATTGTGCGTTGAAATCACCGTTCAAACAAGCCAGCAATGCATGGCTACGAAGACTCCATATCCCTCGCTCTTAGCCCTTCTCTCATGAAGCCTTCTTCAGCTAAGCTTAAGCACCTGTTAGTCTCAACATGCAGCCTCGCTTCGCCTCGATCCAGAATCCATAACTTCATGTTTTCTGATGCTCCTTTTTCTCTCTCCTTTCGGCCTGTGCAGCCGCACTCCAGGGACTCCGGGGCCCTCTTTCCCTTGAAAGGGGTAGGGAGGCCTGAAGCTCCTGAATCAAAGCGGTCTCCCGACAGCAGGCCAAGGAAGGATATGCCACCACCGCAAAGTACGAACCACGCGGAAAGTTTGACAGATATACCACCT